CAACCTCCTGCCAAAAACATTTTCCTGCAGCCAAGGCACTCGGGTGTCCATGGGCATCCTGACAGCATTCCCAGCTCAGGTGTCCATGGGCATCCTCACGGCATTCCCAGCTCAGGTGTCCATGGGCATCCTCACAGCATTCCCAGCTCAGGTGTCCATGGACATCCTGATGGCATTCCCAGCTCAGGTGTCCATGGGCATCCTCACGGCATTCCAAGCTCAGCTCAGGTGTCCATGGGCATCCTGATGGCATTCCCAGCTCAGGTGTCCATGGACATCCTCACGGCATTCCCAGCGGGGTGATGCTGGATCAGCCCTGGATCCCACTGCTCATGGAGCTCCGTCTCCTCCTGCCACCCCCTCCAAAGCTTCTCCCACCTCCGCAGAACAATTCCGTGTCCCCCTCGGAGAGCCTGCGGGCCAGCGAGAAGCACCGGAGCTCCACGGATTACAGCATCGACTCCAAGAAGCGGAAAGCGGAGGAGAAGGACAGCATGAGCCGATATGTGAGTGACAGCCACGGGGACACCTGGGGACAGCATCTGGGGACAGGGGGCAGGGCTCGGGTGATGTTCTCCAGGTGTGGTGTGGGTGAGCTGGGGCTGGAATCTGTGGAGTTTTTATTTTATATTTGTATTATTGTTATATATTTATATTTCTATTATTTATATTTATATATATTTAATATATTTTTTATATTTTTATATATTTATATATTTTATTATATTTTATTCTATTTTTACATATTTTATATAATTCTATATATTTATATATTTTATATATTAAATATTTTTTATATTTATTTATATATATTTCTATTTTTTCATTTTTATATATTTACTTAGATTTTATATTATTTGTATATTTAATATACTCTTTTAATATGTATAATATGTATTCTTTTAAAATGCATATATTCTTTTACTATATATAATATAATTAATTCATACATATTCTTTTAATATGTACATACTTTTAATAAGTATAATTGATATATTATTTATATAGTTGAAGTATTTATATTATATATAGTATAAAATATATTTTACTATATAATATATATATAAATATTATATATAGTATAATATAAATAATAATTATAAATATAATATTATAAATAGTAATATATATACATATTTAATTAATATTTAATTAATATTGTATTTAATACAATAATATACTATATTTGCTATAATAATATAAATACATGCTATATATGCTATAATAATATAAATATACATACTATATATATAGTATAATAATAGAAATATATAGTGATTTTATTGCGTAGTAGTATCATTATATAATAATTGTATTTTTATGTATATATGTATACAGATATGAATATAGATATTATAATTATATGATAATACTTCAGGCTGGAAAAGGCCTTGGGACCGTTGGGTCCCACCATTCCCCAGCGCTGCCAAGGCCACCCTAATCCATGTCCCCAAATGTCCCCAAGTGCCACATCCCTGCCCTGACCGGCTGCACCCCTGCCCTGGGCAGCCCCTTCCAGCTCCTGATGGCCTTTTCCATGGAGAGGCTATCCCAGATCTCCATTCCCTTTTCCATGGAGAGGCTTTCCCAGATCTCCATTCCCTTTTCCATGGAGAGGCTTCCCCAGATCTCCATTCCCTTTTCCATGGAGAGGCTTCTCCAGATCTCCATTCCCACCTTTTCCACGGAGAGGCTTTCCCAGCTCTCCCGTTTGGGGGAGGTTTGGCTCCCCGGGGGGCTGATCCCCCCAGTTTGTGAGCTCTCTGCGGGCTGTGACACGGTTTGTGTTGCAGGACAGCGACGGTGACAAGAGCGATGACCTGGTGGTGGACGTCTCCAATGAGGTGAGGAGCGGCTGGCTCTGCCCCTGGCACGCTGTGGCTCGGGGGTTTGGGAAGCGATTCCTTCGGCGCCGGCCGGAGGGAGCCCTTCCTTCCTTCCTTCCTGCCCTGGGAATTCCAAGGCTTTTCCCATCTCACAGGACCCCGCCACGCCCCGGGTGAGCCCGGCCCATTCCCCCCCGGAGAACGGCCTGGACAAAGCGCGCGGGCTGAAGAAGGGCGACGCTCCCAACAGCCCGGCCTCGGTGGCCTCCTCCAGCAGCACTCCCTCCTCCAAGACCAAGGACCTGGGCCACGTACGTCCCTCCCGCAGGGTCCCCGCGGCGCCGCCCGTGGATCCCGGCAGCTGCAGCTCATCCCTCCTTTTCCGTCCCTTCTCCCCCCAGAACGACAAATCCTCCACGCCCGGCCTCAAGTCCAACACTCCGACGCCCAGGAACGACGCTCCCACCCCGGGCACCAGCAGTACCCCGGGGCTGCGGCCCATGCCCGGCAAACCCAGCGGCATGGACCCCCTGGGTGGGTACCGGGGTCACCCCAGCCCTGGGGGATTGTCCTCCGGGGGTGAGGTTTATGGGGACTCCATCCAGCTGGTGGGGTGAGGAGGGAGGTACAGTCAGCAGGGTTGGGATGAGGGGACGCGGCCTCAAGCTGTGCCAGAGGAAGTTCAGGTTGGACATCAGCGGGAAGTTCTTCATGGAAAGGGAGGTTGGGATGGGCTGCCCAGGGAGAGGCGGTGGAGACCCCATCCCTGGAGATGGAACGCTTGGATGTGGCACTCAGTGCTCTGGGCTGGGAGGAAGGCAGTGTTGGGCCTGGGGTTGGACCCCACGGTGTTGGGTTTTTCCATGGCTG